AGGGCGGCGGGGGGGCGGTTGAAAAAAGGCAGGACGGAGGGGGGTTTCTCCAAGCGGGCGGGTGGCAAAGCATTCTCCGTCGGCGTGGCGCGGCCGTCCAACGAGTCCACGGAGTCCCGGGAGTGAGCCCTCGGTGGCACACCTACAAACAGCACAAGGAAGAGCCATGAGTCGCGGCCAGAGGGCCTTCAGGTCTCGGAGACCTCCTTCTCCTCCTCCTCTTCCTCCCCACCCATGGTGACCGGCGCAAGGACAGTCCTCTCCCGCAGCCCCGTGAGGTCCGGCCTCGGGAGAGCTCAAAGGTGCTCAGAGAAAGATCCAGCCAGCCAAACGTAGCCTCCGCTTCCACGTGCCTCGAAGAGGGTACCAGCGCTCCAGCAAGACCCCAGCTGCCCGCAACGCGCCCTGGAGACGCTCGTTCTCGGGCCAGCGGGGCTCTGCGGAAGCCGCCGAGCAAGCGGGTTATAGGGACAGAAGCGAAAAGCCACGAGAAATGGCGAGAGATCCCCAGCAGAGAGATCGCTGGGTCCCGAATCCCCAAAGACATTAAATGACCCAGAGAGCCTGCGATCCGCACACGGCTTCGGAAAGGCCTGAGCGAGGAGGAACACGAGGGGACAGAACCCAAGTGCCGACAGCAACGGAGCTACTGGAGGAAGGAAAACTCAGTGCCCGTCTGCCCCTGAAGAGAGGGACAGGAACCCTTGCTGTGTCCAAAGAGGCGTCAAGGATGAGACAGGAGAGATAAAACGGACGGCGCTGCCTCTGCCTGAGCCCCTTGGGGGAGCCACGGCTCCCCACCGGGCCTCACCGCTCTGACGGCCCTCAAGCAGAGCACCGTTCAGGCGCCGGCGCTGCCGAGCCGGCAGCCAAAACGCGAGGGCAGGTCGGCACGCCGCCTAACCGCCCGGTGCTGCCAAGCAGCGGATCACCGCGGGCACTGGAGCTGAAGGGAGGGCGCGAAGGTCACAGCTACCCCACTGCAACTCGGCCAGGGCGCTTAGAAAGAGAAGGGCTTTCCTTGCGTGAAACGAGCCACGGGATCTACAATGACCGCAGCTGGCCAAGACCTCCTCGTACACGCTCCTGCCAAAACAGTCCCTGCGGCTCCGCAGAGCTCCCCCCGGCACGGGGCTGGGGCGTCACATCGCTGCGGAGTGAGGCGAGGACCACCTATTGCCATTGTAGAAAGCCCACGGGCCAGGCCCCAGCTGGAATACTGCGTCCAGTGTTGGGCACCTTACCTCCGCAGGGATGGACAAATTCTGGAGGAGATCCAGAGAAGAGCTACTAATAGATATGGAGGGTCTTAGCTATGTTGATAGCCTGAAGAGCTTAAGCCCATTCAGTTTGGAGAGGAGGAGGAGGAGGCTACGAGGGATCTTCGCAGTGTGTGAGCACCTAAAAGGGGATCATAAAGACTCGGGTCAGGATCTAATCAGACTCAGCAGCAACAGGAAAAAAACCCCAGAGACTCCTGGCAGCGTTCCCCCCCACCCCGAGGTCTCGGGGGGGTTCGGCCTGACAGCTTTGCTGGGGATCTGCGGGGCCTGCGGGAGCTGCTGCGGAGCACGGAGACCCCCCCCCGACCCGCCGACGTGCCTTCGCCTCAACTCACGTTTGCGAGCCTGCGCCTCGAACTGTGACAGGTTCTGCCGGGTTGCCAGCCTCACCTCCACCTTGTCCCCGTTGAGGATTTTGCCGGGCAGGAGCTCCAGGAGTTTGTGGACTGAGTTCTCAGAGGCGACAACCACCTCTGCGTACCTGTGGGGAAAGCCCCGGCGGTCAGCCAGCCCCAAAACCGTTCACCCCCTGGGAAGGGGTAGGGACTCCCCGTCAGACCCCACGGGGCTCCATCCGTCCTCGTTGGCGGAGACCACCCAGCGCCACCGCCTCCCGCCGCCTTCCCCGGCAGCTGAACCCTCATGCGCCCTCCTCTCTTTCCCATGCTGTTCGGGAGTCTCCGCTTTACCGTCCCAGCTCCAGGTGGGCTGTGCATCACCTGTGCCAGCCAGGAAAAACACCGGCTGCCCCCTAACTCCCCCCAAACACAAAGGACGTGGCCACAAGGGCCTAACTCCCCCGTGTCCCCCTCAGCTCTCACCCTTTCGACTGGCCATTGGCTCGGTTCTCTGCGAATTTCAGCTCCACTACGTCGTAGACACCGACCGAGCGGATGGTCTGGATCAGCTGTTGGTCAGTTGTCCACTGAAGGGAAGAGGGGAGAGGCCGATGTCAGCTCGCGCAGCCCTTCGCAGGGCCCCAGTGCCCCCCCCAGCTAACCCAGCCTCGGCGTTCGGGGGGGCTGGGGCAGCGCACTTGAGTACAGACACCCTCAGAGCCCCTACAGAGAATTTAAAATCAGCCTCGAGTCTGAAACAGGCCCTGGGCATGGCTACCAGGACAAGACAGAGCCTTCCCAGGACTGTCCCTGTATCTGTCGACAGGATGAGACTTGCCCGCGCAGCCCCCAAGAAGGCAGAGCCCCGTGGAGGCAGCAGCCGGTGCAACGGAGGCACTACAGCCGCCCCAGACTGGATCTGAAGCCCCTCAAGGCCACGAATCCCTTTTCCCCGAGAATCACGAGGTCAAACCCAGCTCACGACCCAGCTCGGGACGCTAGGTCAGCATGGACTGAGGGGAAACAGCCCCCCGAAAGAGCCCTGCAGCCCCTCGGGGGTTTCTCTGGAGGACCACCATCTGCATCCGCACCAAAGGAGCCCCAAAACTGCCCACGCCGGTGGTCTGGAGACCCCCTGGACAGGCAAACACCGCCAGAGAGCGATGCCACTCACCCAGGAGAAGCTGCCCACGTAGACGGCAGCTCTCTTGTTGCGCAGCCCGCTGTACGTGTACAGGATGGCGGGAGATTTGCTGTTGGGCTTGGGGGACGGCTCCTGGCGGATCTCCGGGGGCGGCTCCGAGCTGCTGGTGCGGCTTTCGGCGGGCTGCGAGCTGGCTGCTAACACGTCGTCGTACAGATCCATCTGATCAGCATTACTGAATTCAGAGTCCTGTGAGGGGAGAGACCGTGAGCACCTCTGCAAAGGGGAGACCCCCAGGGCGAAACCGCAGCTCAGAAGGAAGACCTGTGGGCTGCTAAGAGCCTAAACGGGGCTCTGGAGGACAGCCCAGTTCTGCTGGAGTCCTCCAACACCCCCCAGCGCTGATTGTCCGGCAGAAGCCAACCACCGACTACCACAGGAGATGCTTAGAAGTCATCTCGCGCTGCTGCTCTGCTGCAGGTGCCCTCGACGCTGGAGGTTAGGAAGCCGCCTTCACGGTTTGCAAACCGGTCATCCCAATTCACCAAGCGCCGGCGTGCACCAGCTCTTCTGAGCCAACGCAAGCCTTGAACCCAAAGGTTTAGCACCCAAACCACTTGTCTCAGGTGCGTTCGCAGCTCGGAGAAGGTGGTGAATCACTGCCGTGAACGAAGCCACAGCAAACGGGTCCGGTGCCTGTTACCTCTCACAAGCCAGCTCCTCTGGCCCGGAGCCCCGTCCCCTCACCCTCAGTGGCACGCTGCTGTCTTTTTCACGGTGCGTCCCTCGTTCAGGACTTCGTTTTTTGCAATGACAACTCCCCGCGCTTCTCCCCCGGCCCAGCAGACCCCTCTCAGCACCGCGCTGCTCTTCCCCACTACCTTGCAAAAACGCACCGTGGCCCAGGCTTACGATCACGCCTCGCTGGTGGAATCCACCACAGCGTCTGCTCTTCCTCCCGGGCAACGTGGAAATCCCTCTTGCACGTCTCCAGTCCGGCCGCCCAGCTCTCCAACTGGCCAAGTATTAACGCAAGCCCCACAGCAATGAGATTAACATCTCCTTTCCCCAGCAACGAGGATTACCGGTGCCCCGAAGACAGCGCCATGGGCTCTGCTTTGCCATGCCTGACGTAACCCTGGAGCATTTTTTACACGTAAGGAGGTGGCGAAGGGAGGAATACTCCACGAAGCAGAGCCATGACACTTTACCCCACTGATGATTGATGCTGGCTTGATCTTCAACCCCCCAGACTTCATCTACAAGACTTCCGCTTTTCCGTCCGCTGCTCCGCTGAGCTCCAGCACACGCCCCAGGCGAGCAGAGGACTGCCTCACTAGGACGTGAGCAACGGGGGCAAGACGCAACCTGCTGCTCCGAGAGGCTACCAGGAAAAAGCTCACCTTTTGTAAGCGCACCGGGCCAAGAGTTCAGTGGTGGAAAACCAAACGGCCTCAATGGATGAACCTCTCGCTCCTTGGCTGGTACACGCTTCGCAAGTCCAGCCTGGGGGTCGCGCACCCATCCTCGAACCCCGCTCGCCTCAGCTACGCCACCGCAAGCTCGCTCGTTTTTGGGCCAGCAGAGCCCTCTTCAGGGTAGGAGCTACACACACCCGTCGGCACACACAGATGCGCGCACGCCGTCTCCCCTCCCCTCGGCAGCGCAGCCTTTCACGGCACGAACCAGCCGGCGAGGAAGCTTCTGAGCTGCGAACTCAAGTGTCCTAGATCTGCCTTCCAATTCCCACTCTGTTCTGGGCTATATTTAATTTGGAGTGTACAGCGAGTGCTGTGTTTACTACGGATCTTCAGACTAATTGCTCACCCGGATTCAGCGCGCGCTGAGCATCGTTTCACGCTACAAATTACTACGTTAGTATTTGTCCCACGGGAAAAAACGCACAGGTCCCGTGCCGCACAAAAACCGGAGGCTCTGCTCCCAAATTTTTAATTTCCAGCACTTCAGAGGCAGTTTGGACAACAGCTTCTGCTAGAGAGAGCGTGAGGTGGTTAAATCCCCTATGCTGTGACCATCAGGGAAATACACACGTACAACGTGGCCCTTTGTGAGCTCAGGGGAGAGACAGGGAAAGGTGCTCAAGCACACGGCTTTTAAAGGGTCACGGAAATATAAAAATCAAACCATTTTCCCCCCAGACCCTCTTCTTGACAGCAACATCCATTTCTAAGGCAAGTTGTAACTTTTGCATCTGGCTATTTCAGCTGCAGGGCTGATAAAAAAGTTACAAGAATTTCAACAGGGAGAAGTATTTTTGTACTCATTCTCAAAACAGTTTGTTTAATCCGCCTCCCACACTCCTGCCCCCACCAAGCGCCTCTGGACACGGCCCAAAGCTGGAAGATTTCTGCCGGAAAGTTTCAGAAAGTCAAGAATGAAAATAGGGGGGTGTTAGAGGAGAAACAGCTCGGAAACCCTCAGTTGTGCTACTTAGGGGATGCTTCAGCTTGGGAGTTTTTAGAGATCTTCTGGGACCCTCTGAGATCCTCTGGAATCTCTAAAAACGTTCTCCTTTAAAAACAAACAGCCTGATGGGAAGATGGTGGAGAAGTCCTCACTGCCCAAGCGCTCACAGTCCACGCTGCCGGCCTCTGCCCTTGCCGTCACGCTGAATTTGCAGACCATCGCTCGAAACCCACGGTAGCAAGAAGCTTCTTGCATCACGCGCCGCCCCGCCAGCGAACACCTTCACTGCCATTCAAACCCCGACACAGCAAATGCGCTCCGAACCCGGGCGCGACGCCTTGTGAGGTGCACGGGGATGAAGCCAGGCACCATCGGCGGTAATTACCACGGGCGCTGTGGAATTTGGAACCACGCTGGCATCCCTGGTGTGCCACAGGGACCACGGGGCAGCCAGGACAACTTCCCATCACGCTTTGATCCCACACGCGGCATCGTGCACAGATTAACTCTGGGCTTCTCCCTGCCGCCGCACAGCCCGAGGCGAGCGAGATGCTGGAGTCGGCAGCCTTGATAATCACTTCCAGCTTTAAGAAGCCGCTATCTACTTGGCCGTGTCAACGATTTTGTGTGTCCTGTCCCCCCCAAACCCTCAGTTAAATCATTCCACGCCGGTTCCCGCTGTGCAGCCAGGCTTGCTCCGTCTTCCTTCCAACGCTGTTCAACTTCTTTTCTCCCAAAGATCCCCGAGACTCGACCGAGACCAGACCCGACCCATCAGAGACCCTCTCTGCTCCCCAGCAGATACTCCCGCATCAACTCAAGCCACTGCTTTTGTCACCTTTCCTGCTCCAGGCCTCCCGGGGGCAGAATCTTCGCGGGAAAGCTTACCCGCAGGCACAGGCAGGACAAGCAGCACCGGCTCCTCTCTGCAGAGCACCCCTGAAGCGGCAGCAGAGTTCTCCTGTTAAGTCCTCCCGCGGTTCATCGGTTGTCCTCTGAGACGTTACAGACTTCCCAACTCACACCCGCCAACGTCCCAGCTCTCCTTCTCCAGACAGTAGATACCACGTCCACTTTCACTGCTTCCCTTTGGCGTTCAGAGTAATTGCCACAAATGAAGTTTCCTGGTTATTCTGTGCACTTCTAAACACCGGCTCAGCGACCTCCACGCATTTTCTTACTCCGCACCCTTATTCCCGCAGCTATCCAGCTCTCCCTTCCGCTCCCAAGTCCAGGTACACCTATTTCCTCAACTCTGTTAAAAGCCAATTGCATGAAAACATGCACATTGAGGTGATTCCTAAGCCAGAGCAGTTCCGTTCGGTCCCAGCACAGTACTAGATTCTTTAATACATGGGGAATTGGGTTTATTCCGGGAATTTTTCAGGAAGGATGCAGGAAGCGGTATTTCACAGTCAGAGGGTGGCCGGGCAGGATTGCCCGGCTGCTACAGGCAGCACAGACGTTTGCTTTTGCAGCTTACCTTTTTAGTGAGATTCTCGTTATTTTGGCAACGTTAGAGCCAGTTTGGACCCTGCCCTTCTCCGAGGCAACTGCTCTCAGCGGAGAACTCCTCCTTCTTCCCAGCCGACTGGAAAGCACCTCGAAGTCCCCTCAGCTCTGAGGCAGATAATACAATTTCCGCCGTTTCGCTTTTCCCTAAAGGTCTAAACCACAGTATATTCTCCCCTGATAACCTCCCACCTCCTCAGAACAAAGGGTTTATAGCCCTCAGCTCCTCTTCAGCCCTCTGGGAGCCCACGGCGATTCCTTCCTCCGTGGGTTTTGTTTCCAGTTCACGCGGCTTGCTCTCTGGTGCGGACCAACTTTCCTCCACGGGCTTTCCACAGCAGTTTGTAATAGTCGAACATCTGCATTCACACTCGCTCTCACATATCCCCGAACTTTCCAAAATCTGCTGCTCTAACAGCTACGCTCCCTCCCTCTTCTCTGTCATTTTTTCCTGCGTGTCCCAGACAGCCCCAGGATGGGAGAGGGGGCACACGGGCATCTCTCCCACCGCAGTGAGTCTCTGCCACAGCTTCCCAGCCTCAGCGGTCCCGCAGGTTCGGTGCTCTGGGTCCCCTCGCTGTGCAGTTCCCTGGCAGTGCCTCTTCCAGTCTGAATTTCTCATTTCTCCAACCAGGTTGCAATTATCCCCTTCAATCCCCGCTCGTCACTGCCCTGGCAAATGTTCTGGTCCAAACCCTGCCACCTCCTCCTCCCAAATATTTTGTGATGTGTTGAACCTCCAGTGAAACCCACAGACAGACCTTTTATTCCCAATTCACGATGGCAGCCACCAGGATTTAGGAAGGGTCCCGACCCTCGGTTCCCCACAGGGATTCTCCAGCGCTGTACCACCTTTTCCCAGGCACACTGGTTGCACCCTCTGCCTCTGCTCACTGCATACGCACCAGCTGGTGTGTACCTCCATGCTAACGAGTTGGCCGATGCCAGTAACGATGTTCTACCCCAAGAGAGGGGGATCTGCTCCCCCAGCCCCACACCCGGCCGCGCCGCTCACCTGGTTGAACTCCTCGTCGGCGTATATATCGATCAGATCCACTCCCTCGGACATATTTCCAGAGACGGGAGCAGGAACCCGGACTGGGACCGGGGCGGCGAAGCAGGAAGACGGAAGGTGCACTGCAGCGGGGCAAGAGGAGGGGGGAGAAGGGGGTCAGCGAGACACCGGGGACTCACTCTGCAGGTCCCCCCTGTCCTCTTTGCCCCCCTCTCCATCTCTCTAGAGGACTGTGGCCCCCGCTTCCCTGCGGCCACCCCCCCAGGAGGGCCCACAGCCTCAGCCCAACCCCACCCGGGGGCCACAGCACCCCTCGACCTCTGCCTGGGACACCTCTCCCCGGGGGCAATCCCACCCCGACCCCCACCTCGCTGAGGGCCACCCCCAGGGGCAACGTGGCCCCGTTCCCCCCAGATCTGACCCATCTCTAGGGGCAACAAACTCCCCTCAGGGGGCGACCCCAACCTGTCCC